TGATGCATAATCGTGAACATCATGTTAGCAGAGCAATTTATTTTTCAAAAGTCTCATGCATGAAGTTGTGGGGACATTAATTTTTAGAAGCATCATTAGCCTCAAGTTGAAAAGGCAATTTATTTTTTTTCAAAGTCTCATGTTCTGAAGTTGGAGAAACAAAACATTTTTCAAAGTTCTATCATTTCAAGTTGAACTAAATATCGTCGTTGAAGTCTTATCACCTTAAGTTGGAGGATTTTTTTCTCTCTGAATAAAGTCACCCAAAACGTACATGAAATCATGTCGTCTAAGCCTTGCCTTATTCTTATTCCACAATGATGGATAGAAAAAGACGACTAATAACATCGTATTTTTTAGGCTAGACCTTAAAATTCAAGTCCAAATAAAATTAGGCCAAAATCTATTTTTTTCAAAACCCACCAGCAGACTCAAACTTGAACCCAAACCCATTTTTTTAAGTCAAATTATGACCTAAATCCTCATCACACAATTATATCTCACTCACTTCTCTCACCACGTCTCAACTCCTATACCCAACCATCCATTCAACCTCAAAATTAACTTGTTTTTTCTCTCACTAATAATGATGATGGGCAACAACATGCGAAACTAGTGAGTAATAATCAGTAGGGAGAGACCTTGGTTAGATCTAAAGATTATATTAGTATTTTATTTAAAATTTAAAAGTCCAATTGAAAATCAATCTCATTTGTTGATACCCACGTCACATTAATCAAAATGATTTAAATCGATAACATAGTAATTTATGATTACAAGAAAATATATATTTGAAAAATTCTTAATAATTTGATAATGAACAATTATTTACCCTTTTAAATGTTGTGTTTAAACTCAAAATTTAAAAAAAAATATTAATTATTAAAAAATTGAATATTATTATAATATATTTTTAATATTATATAATATGTACTCAGATATATTATAATAATATATAATGTTTAATAATTTAGTATTATATTAATAAATTACTAATAATAAAAATTAAAGGTGTTCAAACAGTTAATTCAATCACTTACTGAATTGAATTACCAACCAAATTAACTGAATATTTTTTTCTTTAATCATTAATCAAATCGATTTTTTTGAAAATATTAACCGAACCAAACTTTATTCATTTTATGTAAATCATTTTTTATAAAATTAATTATAGTGTATCAAACAATTAGTGGAAATGGTTTACACAATTCATTTTACGTAAAACAATTTTCATGTAATTCATTTTACGTAAAATAATTTTAAGTAATTCATTTTACGTAAATTATTTTCTAGAAAACCAATTACAGTCTATCAAATAGACCCTAAGTGTTTGTGGTCTTGTGTCAATGAGTTCAACGTACAATTGTGCTGGTTGTGGAACCTTGTGACTTTCCACAACATTTTTCGTTGTGAGTATGAAACACATATCCTCTACTTGCGGTCGACATTGTGGTTTATACACCTGACAAAATATGCCTTTTGGTCAGACTCCACCGTATAAAATTCTATATGAGCTTTACTGCTAGTTCAATATCATTTTTAGTTTAAAATTGGGATCCAATGGGTTGTATATAGCCGACATATAAGGAATCTCATAATTCCTCATGGCATCATAGTTTATGTCATGCATTGCAACTAGATGATGATAGTGAGACATTTGGGGTTGTGACATTTAGAGTTGATTGGATGTTGGTGAATTATCCAACCTCATGAAGCATTCTGCAATACATGACCACGTGAAACCACTACCTCCCAGACATCACCCTCTTTATCAAAACCTTGTTATCAGCATCATTAATTATTGGTGTGTCATCGTCCAGTATCAGAGGAACAAAAGTTTCATCGTCCTCACTAAAATCAACAAGACTTTCACTGAATTGCCTAACAAGGTTATCTCGATCATTTGATGATAATGCTTCTTCGGTTATGGGTGCAGCTGTTGACGAAGTAGGAAGATCTACAATATTTCTCATTTCAACGTATATCTCGATAATTTGATTATTTGAGGATTGATACATGCCAATCATCATAGTAACATTGTCATTATCATCAAGCTGGATTACTCCATATTTGAGTGGAGTCTCTAAAATTACGTGTCGATAACTCAAACATGAAACAAAAGCTCCAAGTTTTCTTTAAATTCTCTACTTTATTTGGCAATGAGATATATCGACATGGAACATCATGTTCACGGGCCTATGTAACATAAACACAGCACCATCATTAGTTTGAATAACTTGGCCATTTGAATGGACCACTGTGAAAATTTTGTTAGCCATTGTTTGAGAAAGGTTTGTGGTTGTTCAATGAAGTTTTAGAAAGTGGAAGTTTTGTGAAGATTCACATGACATAAGCCAATTTAAAAGAAAAATGAACTATCATCAATCATCATTCAATTCGGTGACAGAAACTTTTCAATGATATATCAACTCATTTCAGAAAACTTTTTAATAGTGGTATATCAGTTTATATCATAAAAACGTCCATTTCTCATAGGCCATTTAATTTACAATGACCAAAACTTTTCAATGCCCAGTAAGTTCTCTTCAGAAACTTATCAGTGATATATCAGCTTATTTTAGAAAACTTTTCAGTAGTGATATCTCACTTTATATCATAAAAACGTCCATTTCTTATAGGCCATTTAATGTACAATTGCAAAAACTTTTTAAGTGCCCAAGAACTTCTCTTTAGAAACTTTTTAGTGATATATCAACTCATTTTAGAAAACTTTTAAGTAGTGATATATCACTTCATATTAAAAAAAGCGTCCATTTCTCATAGGCCATTTAATGCACAATGGCATAAACTTTTAGTTCCCAATAACTTATCTTCAGAAACTTTTCAGTGATATATCAACTCATTTAAAAAAACTTTTCAGTTATTATATATCACTTCATTTTAGAAAAAAAATCCATTTCTCATAGGCCATTTAATGCACAATGGCAGAAACTTTTCAGTAATATATCACTTTATTTTAGAAACTTTTCATAAAACTATTAATATGTGTGAGGTGAAAGCAATTTATATCACTTGAAGCAAATAACATCTAAAACAATTTTAGTCTTTCACTTCTAAAGGTTCAATTTTTTGCTAATGTGGCTTGCAACTGTTTTTTTATGATTGCAAATCTTAACTACATCTTTAAAAAAAATCAACTAGACAAGTTGAAGTTCAATATAGAAACAATAGTTCAACTCAGATGCAATAGAATAATATTTTCATTATATTATAAATTGTCACTATTATGCAGGAGGTTTGATCTAATCGATGATGTCAACCTTGCTAGTATGATTGAGACATACTTCTATCATTCTATATCTAATGTCGATTTTTTTGTAAAGTTTGTTGATCTCGACCTTGCTCGTATGGTTGAGGATACTACCTCAAGCTAGAATATCCCACCAACTAAGAAAAATGATGAAGAAACAAAGATATGTGATGGAGACCCAGAAGCATTGTTCCAATTTGTACGTGAACGATAACAAAAAAGCAATGAAAATTAAAGAACTGAATATTACCTTTGACGAGTCTATTGATTACGAGGATTAAAACATCATAACGAATACTACTATGTTTAAGGTTTTTTTATTTACTGTTTAAGGCGTGTGTAAGGTTATTTATATTTATGACCTTAACGTAATGTATTATGTTTGTTGTTATTATCTTCTCAATGTAATGTTCATGGTTCGTTGTTTTTATCTCCTCAATCTAATGTTTAATGGTTTAATTTAATGTTTACGATTCATTGTTTTTTTTAAACAAAACCTATTACAATCTCCTTAACTTTTCAGCGATATATCAACATGACCGTTGGAACTCATCATATTAAGAAGATAAAAACAACAAAACTAATACATTACGTGAAGGAAATAAATACAACTGAATATGAGCTTTGGAACTGGTCACCTCAGCATGACGAGTTCCTTTTTTAAATATAATTTTAAAAAATCCAATCACGAGAAAAATAATATTATTTTAATAAAACTCGTCATCTTAAAAAATAATTAAATATTACACACTAAGGTGACGAGTTCCGTGAAAAGTAATTAAATATTACACATCGAATACAAAATATTTTCTATAGGAACTCGTCACCTCTAGGTGACAAGTTCCATGTATATTATAACAATTGGTGTAGATCCCAAAATAAACATCTACCTACCTTATTTTCCCAATTTCTTTTTCTTCTTGCCTTATTGGGCCAAATAAACCAAACGTATTTCATTCCAAACCCACCAACAGACCCAAACTTGAACCCAAAATTCATTTTTCAAGCCAAATTATGATCCAAATCCTCATCCCACAATTAAATCTCATTCAGTTCTCTCACCATTTCTCAACTCCTATACCCCCAACCATTCATTCAATTTCAAAATTGACCTATTTCTCTCTCTCACTAATAATGATAACAGGTAACAACATGTGAAAGTAGTGAGTGACAATCAGTAGGGAGAGACCTTGGTTAGATCCATAGATTAAATTAATATTTTATATAAAATTTAGAGAATATATTAGTATTTTATTTTAAAATTTAAAAGTGAAATTGAAAATTAATCTCATTTGTTGATAAATCACATCTCATTAATCAAAATGATTTAAATCGATAACATAAATGAATAAGTTATTATTATTTTCTTAAATCAATAACTAAATAAAAAACAAAAATAATTATTTTAATAATTTATGATTACAAGATAATATATATTTTAAAAATTCTTAATCACTTGATAATTAAAAATTATTTATTCTTTTAAATATTGTGTTTAAACTCAAAATCTAAAAAAATAATTATTTTTTAATTATTAAAATAACTTTATCTGTTCTATTAATTTCATTTTAAGAATGCAGGTTAGGTTCCATCACGGGTTTACCCAAATGGGTTTACCTTGAACTAACAGCCGGCCAGCGTACTTTATCTGTTCCAAATTTGTGGCGCATAACAAACACACAAATTGAATTCCATTCAATAAAAATACCACTTATAAACACCACCCAGAAGCTTAGGCGGCTTTAATCTAAAACCGAAAAGAAAAAATGGCCAAGGAGCTCTGTTTTGGAATGACAGCCATGTTATCCATAAACACTTGGCAAGGGCAGCAGCACCACCACCATTGGCCGAGGTCCCAGCTATCCCCGCGTCCCATCTCAGTCACCCGTCGCCTCACCAAGCATTCCCGGTTTCGAGTGTTCTGCCAAAGCGTCGAAACGCAGGCGACGAGCGTGGTATATGACCCGGAGTTCGGTGCCAAAGTCGGGCAAGACCGTCTCTTGAAGGTCCCCGTTTCGAACATTAGGAATTTCTGCATCATAGCACATATTGATCATGGGAAATCAACTCTGGCGGACAAGTTGCTTCAGATGACGGGTACCGTCCAGAAGCGAGAAATGAAAGAGCAGTTTCTTGATAACATGGACTTGGAGAGGGAAAGAGGCATTACAATTAAACTTCAGGTCGGTTTCGGATGTCAAAACCTTCGGTTTTTTTTTTGGTTATAAAACCCAGTGCTGCAAAGTGTTTTGATGGATTTTTGTTTCTCTTGGTTCTTGTCAATGTGTTACTTGTCGTAGCTTGTTTCTACTTACAACGACAGAGGAAAAAAATACGGATTTGCTTCTCTCTTGTGCTTATCGGGCATTGGTGGGAAGGTTTTATAGAATTCAAGTCCAAAATCCCGTTCCATTTCAGTGGGTTAAAGATTTAAGCAGTCCAGGACTAAAGTCAAAACTCAAAAGTGAACTAAGTAATTTCATCTCTATACACTTGATATATATGCAAAAAATAAATTATTAATAGTGGTAGTGGATAATCGTCTGACATGAGCTTTTGGAATGTGACATGTATTTGAGTTGATATCTGACAAACATATGTTCTTAATACTGAAAATTTTTCTTTGCTTGAGTTCTACCTATATGTATAGATTTTCAGATTTCCAAAGTCCACAGTTTTCCATCAACTTTGTTGTCGGTCTTACTTTTTTGGATTAATACTAGATGTAAAAGGGTTAAATTTTCTCATTTATATAGTATATGAACTAACTTGCACCTTTAATTGTAGTATAGGATTTTCCTCTAACCGTTTCATTGTGCCTTTGCTATCTGCACATTTGTATTACTTCCTCTAGCTGACTATGCACTGAGGAGAACTTATCTTTGTGATCATTGGAATTCAAGTTCAAAACTGCTTCAGTTTTCATTTTGAGCTGCCCAATCTGTATGTATTGCACATTTGCATATACATGCATGAGTGTCTGTGTGAGCGAAACAATTTCATCATTTGATCAACTTTTTTATCCGTAATATTTAAAAGTATCATATAATTGGATGTTTCTCTTTGAATAAAAATAAGAGGTATTTCCTTAGGTCTAATAATGCATCCTGCCGTGTTTAATTTCTTATTTGAATCAGTTGACATTGGAAAATGGTACACGAGAAATGTACAAGGAGACTTGGCTAAGGCAATTTCGATGAAATCTAAAGCATTTAACATTTCTCAATTCAAACCATCCATTTAAATGATTCTGTTTAGTTAAAGTTTTGTTTAGTACTTATTAAATGATTTTGGAATAAGAAATGGTTTTACCAAGTCTCCATGTAAAGCTTACCTCTCAATTCAAACCATCCATCTTACTGTGCAACAGTTCAAAGAAACTGGAGATTGACTCTTTATATCAATCCTGCCCATTTCCTAGAGCTTCACATTCCAAGCTAACATCCCAATAACCTGGATAAACAATAGTTGACTTTCGATACTTACTTTTCATGCATTATACCACATTGAATGCCGTGTCAAAAGGAAATATAATTTTTATTCCTCACATGAAAAGAAATATGAGTGTGAACAATCTTTACCAGCCAACTTGCAAGTTTGGACAGCTTACTTTCTAAGGGACTTTTTACTTGAACAACATATTTCTTTATGCTAATGCTGTTAGTTCCCTCAATCCTTTTTTTCTCAGTATAAATGATAACAACGAACTAAGTCTTTTCTCGAGATCAATTGCAAAACCCCCTTGTATGCATCCTAAAATTGCATTTATATGGTTATATCCTTCCTATGTTTACCATCTCCTTTATCCTATTATTAAGAAATGCACCTATTAAAATTTTTATTTGTTCACATCCCTTTCTACAAAGATCAGCCATGTTCAGATGAGATATTGATTTATCTGTCTCTCACTCACAATATAATTCTCTTAAATATCTAGCAAGTTAATTGCCAAACCATGCAAGATAACTATTACCATATGATTGTATAACTGTAAGACATGCTTACCAGAAGCATTCCCCAACCCGTACGCATGAAAATAAAAATGCAGACTATAATGTCTTGAATTGTCATCTTAGCGAGTGTGACAAGCTTTTGCAACTTATGCACGTCATGAGAGAGAGAAAGAGAGATAACGAGAGAGAACTTGAAACGTCAACCTTCCTCCAGTGAGGAATGGACAGCCTTTGTCAACAATCTGAGCAAGAGAGTATCAAGGAGAACGTTAAGGGAACTCTTCCATTTCTGTGGTCCAGTCATTAGGGTTTTTATCCGGAGTGTTATGAACAAACCAAAGTATAAAACTTCTACTTTCGCCTTTGTTCAGTTTACGAATGAGTTTGGTATGAGAAATGCTATTGCGAATATTAATGGATCATGGATTGATGGAAAAAGAATCTCAGTGGGGGTTGCCAAATATCATAAAGCTTGAAAGGGATAAGGCGCTGCAGGTAAAGTCTAGGTGGAAGCTAAACAGTTAGTTGGTGGTGCAAAGAGGATATCCAGAGAGGGAGGTGAGTCTCCAAGAAGTATAAGGGATGACAAATCCTACAAAGAAGTATTGGTTTCGGATGAGAGGGTGATGAATGGACCTAGAACCTTGGAGAACAGAGGGTGTAATCAGCAAGTTTCAACAGGGATGAAGAATGTTTGGGAGATGCGCATCCCTTCAGATGAGTCGAGTTGGATGAAACGTTCTTTAACTGGGATTATCAAATCGTCCTTTGAGTTGGAGCTGGTGCAGCAGGCATTATCAAGTGGAGGAATAGAAGCGAAGGTCGCCAGTTGGGGCTATGCATGGAACTCGTGTATTACTACCTTTAAGTCGGTAGAAGCGTTGTCGGAGACATGGAATAACAAGAAAGATGAACTGTTTTTCTGGTTTGATTGGTTGGTTCCCTTACTGAATGAGGTTGGAGTTCCAATGGCGTACTGTTTGATTGAGTTATTCGAAGTTCCTTTATTATGTTGGCATGATAAGTTCTTGGAGAGGCTTGCTGAAAGATGGGGTTCGTTGGTCTGTATTCAAGAGTCGACCAAGAATAGAGAGGATATGTTGGCGGCGAGGTTGCTGGTGAGAGTGGCGAGTCCTTTTGATGTTCCGAGAATGATAAATTTAGGCTCATATGGGAGATCATTTTCATTAGATTTGTAACAGTCACGGGGACGCTCAAAGATAATCAAGGGGAGTGTTGTTTGGTTAATATGTATGGCCTGGCTGTGGAGTCAGAGAATGAGGCCTTTTTCGAAGCATTTCTAAATTTTATAGGTCAAGTGGAGTGTACTTTGTGTGTGAGAGGTGATTTCAACGCGTACTTGACTGGGAGGAGAAGATTGGGAAGTCCCAGAATTGGCACTCAATGAGATTATTCACAAATTTTGTTTTCCAAGCTAAGCTGGTGGATTTGCCTTTAGCAAGAGGTGGGTTTACGTGGTGTAGTAATAGGGAGTCACCATCTTTCGTTAGACTGGATCAATTCTTGGTGGATGCAATTTTTTTTGGCGTTTTTCCAGACATCGTTCAGGTATTATTTTCGAAGTCGTTATCATATCATAACATTATCGTGTTGGAAAGAAGCGAAACTAATTGGGGCTCAAAACCATTTAAATTGTTTAACTACGTGATGGAGGAGGAGGGCTTTAAAGAAATGATGAAGTCTTCGATCAATGAGATGAAGAAGGGTAAAAGGAAGATGAGGACCGCGAATATGTTGAAAGAACTAAAGAAGGGAATTAAGAGCTGGTCTAACACTAGACTTAAGCTGCCAAAAACGATCCTGAAGCTAGAAAAGTTTATTTCAGAAATGGAATTAGCTTTACAACAAGGGTCTGATTACGTGACAATGAAGGTCATAGTGAAAGAAAAGACGAATCTGTGGGATTTGTACAAAAAAGAAGAGAAAATATGGTTTCAAAAGTCCCGAGCAAAATGGATTCATGATGGTGACCGGAATTCAAGGTATTTTCATCAGTGTGCTTCAAATAGGGGAAGGACTAACGCATGAAACTCTTGAAAGTACATGGCAATATTGTTTCGAATTCGGATCAAATTAAATCCAGTGTGTTGAAGTACTTCAAAGAGGCTTATAACTTGAAGCCTACATTGGAGGTGAAGGACGTTAATATGGAGTTTGCTAAACTTTCCGAGTCATAATGTGCTTTTCTGGAAAGGAATTTTTCAGATGAAGAAATTTGGGAGGCATTCACGTAGTCGGACAATAACAAGACGCCTGGTCTGGATGAGATGAACATGGGCTTTTTCAAGAAATTTTGGCCATTCTTGAAGGAAGAGATAATGAAGTTCTTTAATGACTTATATTTGGCGAAGAAGTAGGAGAATGGGGTGAATCATTCGTTTATTACATTGATTCCGAAGAAGTCCAACCCGAAAAGTTTGGAGGATTATAGGCCCATTAGTTTGGTTGGAAGCTTATAAAAGATTGTATCTAAGGTGTTATCGAGAAGATTGAGGACATGCATTGATTTTCTTATTGGTCCGACTCAGTTTGCCTTTATTCCGAGAAGGCTAATTCTTGATTGTTCCTTTATAGCAAAGAGGACATCGATTATTGGAGGAAAAAGGGGTTGAAAGGAGTGGCCTTTAAAGTGGACTTTAGACGGGCATATGATTCAGTGAATTGGTCGATTTTGATGAAGATCATGGAGTATATGGGATTCGTGGATTTTCAAGTGTCTTTCTTCAACTTCTATTTTGGTATTAGTTAATGGTTCCCCCACGGAAGATTTCAAAATTTCCAGGGGACTCTGTCAAGGCTGTTCGTTATCGCCGTTGCTATTCAATTTAGTGGGAGAGATGCTTAGTCTTATGCTGTCGAAGGCGGTAAAGTTGGGACTTTTCAATGGGTTCCAAATCGGCATCCCTAATAGCTCTTTTTCGTTATCGCATCTGCAGTTTGCAATTAAAGAATATAAAGAGAGTTTTGACCATTTTTGAAATGTGTTCGGGGTTGCAATTGAACTTAGCAAAGAGCAAGATCTTTGGTATAAATGTGGATAAATCAATTATCAAAGATTGGGCAGCTTCGATTGGTTGTTCGGTGGGTCGATTAATATTGGAAAGAGATTCGGTTATTGCCTTGGAATGGATTAAGAATCCAGGCGCTTGTCCAGCCTTTGCTTCTGTTTTAGTGAATGATATTGCTAATTGTGTAAGGGATTGTAATGTGATTGTTAGGCATATTAAGAGGTGTTTCAATTGGGAAGCGGATAGCCTTGCCAAAGCAGGCATAGGGTAGATGGTCTGTTATTGTTTTTAAGTTGGTTGGGTTCTTGATTGAGGGGAGTGTTAGATCTGTGGATGTTTCGATTGTTTTTTCTTGATTGTAACCTTGGTGTAATTTGATGTTTAGTAATAAAATGTTGGGTACTCTTTTCTTCCTTCCAATGTCCGTTGTGTTATTTATGTAGCTCGAAGGTTATGAAGGATTTTTTTAACGAGGCCCTCATTCTTATAAAAAAAGTATACTTAGTTTTTGCATGTTTGCTGTTCATGGAATCTGTTATGAGGTTATCACATGATTTTTTGCAGCTTTTTTTTTTCTTTTAATGCTTTTCTCTTTCTTTCTTTCTTTAAAATACTTCCTAATAGTTGATGTTCCTGCTAATTTATATATTTGCAGGCATCCCGAATGCGGTATATATTTGAAAATGAACCATATTGCCTGAATCTAATTGACACACCAGGGCATGTAGACTTCTCTTATGAGGTACTCATCTCAATTTGATATAGCAGATAATTGACACAAAATATGTTACTGCTTGACATTTCAATATATAAGTGCCTCTGTTCATTTCTAATTCAACATTAGGTTTAGATTTTTTCTTTTCAGTTGTAAAACAAGCTATACGTACTACATTTTCATGATCAGACCATGTTAGATAATGAGCAATAGCAGGAAAGCTGCAATAAGGTTGTTATGTTATCCAACCAGGAATTTGATGAAGTATAGATACTTAGAGTGTCCTATATATTACTTAGTTACAACTTTCAAGTCAAAAACATTTCTCAAATGGCATGAGTATTCTTTTTATGAGTGAAAGATGGGAACATTCTTCCTTTTGCATGAGGCTACAAACATACATGGGATTTAAGAGTAACTCCTTTACAATTACATGTGCATAGATTCACTGGTGGATTTTTTTAATTAATTTCCCTGAATTTAATAACTAATTTTTCCTTTATAATTGACATACCTTTTTTTATCTAGGTTTCTCGGTCACTTGCTGCATGTGAGGGTGCTCTACTTGTTGTAGATGCTTCTCAGGTTACTTTATTTTTGCCACTGCTTTGAGTTGATAATTTAGTCTCTTTAAATGATGTCAACTGTCAAGTTATAGTTCATATTTTACTTTAGCTTTTTATTTTGAGGTTAGCATGGTTGAACTTAAATATAGTCATATCAACCTTAGTACTGTTGCTACTGTTGCTATTTTTCGTGTTATCGGACATTTATTCTTTTGTAGGGTGTGGAAGCACAAACTCTTGCTAATGTATATTTGGCCTTGGAGAACAACCTTGAAATTATCCCTGTAAGTTTTTTTTTCCTTTGTTTCGTTGTTTAACTCAATAAATTTACATTATGAGTTAGCTGTAGCTTATTGGTTTGGGCTGACTAACTTATGAAAACATTAAACATAATTATTTTAACTAACCACGCATGTCTTGTGGCTACTGTTACTGTTTTAGTTCATAATGGACTTGGGCTTTCCTTGCACAATTTTTGGTCTTTTAAGATGTTGGATATAGTGTGATGACACAGATAGCAAACTAGGTTACAGAATCTGAGGTAGGTGTTGGAGAGATTAAGATAAGTTATCGGTATCTGGTTAGTCTATACATTTGACAAATGATATGAAAAAGGGAGAAAGCAAGCTGTTTGCCTCACACTAATACATTTAGGATAAATACTGAAATAGCCTTTTTACATGGCAGATGTTTCCTGTACAAGCAGCTATTCTTTTATTGTAACCAACTTTTACCCCCTTTTTTGTTCAAGTAAAACTTGTTTTGGATGGAAACCCTTTAAAATCTGTTAACTCTTCCATTTCAGGGTTTACGTTTACTTTGCCATACTGGCGTTTGCCTGACCATTATTTTATCCATATCAGCACATGCATAGTTAATTTTGAAAATTCAGGTTGACTTGGTGCTTTTTATGTACAAGAGCTTTTTGGTATTTTAGCCTTTAAGAAATCAGTTTGAATTTTCTCTTTCGGTCTAAATTCTGTTGATTTTTTTTATGTTGCAGAGAAAGCAATTCAACCGTTATATGGGCTGATAAATCTTTATCTTTCAGAGTGAACTTATTTGGACCACAAAATATAAACAAAATTAAACGAAACTTTTATTATTGATTAGGATTGACCCTAGTAATTGGACGGTGAATTTTTTTTTTGATAGGAAGGGGAGACCTCATTAAAAAACCCCTTCATACCTTACGAAATATGGATATTTTGTATGACATTGGAAGGAGGAAAAGATTGTCTCAAGTTTTATTGAACAACCAATAATACAACATAGTAAACATAAAACACCTAACTGCAACTAAATATGATGTTGGAAATTTGGTCATTGAAAGCCTTGATTTAGTCATAATCTGTGAGATTTTCTAGGATTTGTTTTCTATGTAAATCAAGAAAAAGTAGGAAAGTAGAAGCTGTCAAATATTGGCTCTAATTAGTTTTTTTTTGTTGTAATTTCCCTCTGTATAAAAGGAGCCTTGTACTCATTCAAGAAATAAGACATTATTTCTTCATTCTTTTCTAATTTGGTGTCAGAGCCATAATCGTGTCTTAACCCTAAAACACAGCAGTTCCAAAATAACTGTAGCCATGTCCGAAGTCGCGTCGGAAATCACCTCAACCCCTGCTGCGGCCACTCCAATTCTCATTCTGTCCAAATCACCACCATCCGCTTAAATGGTGACAACTTCCTCCGATGGTCACAATCAGTTCGAATGTATATTCGTGGGCAAGGGAAAATCGGTTACATCACTGGTGACCAGGGATTTAAATCGCGGTCGCGTTGCGTTTATCACGGTCGCGGACGTAACGGATGCTATCGTGGTCACTCCGGGTATCGCGGACGTGAATTTTTTTTAATTTGCACAACTTATTACAAAATATAATAAATTATAATTATAATTATAAAAAAACAAATTTAATGATATTTAGAGTGTTTTCTAACACTTGTGAACTTCTAAAAACTTTTATTAATACATGAGCATAATTTTTACCATCATTAATTATTCTTATATTTATTTATAAATTTCTTAAAAATATTATACAAGAAACATAAAATTAAAATTAGAAATTATAAATATAAAACAATCCATTACTTCTATTATCAATAATATAATACAAAATATAATAAACATTTACTAACACTGAAGAAAAGTAAGTTTATTGCATAAATTAATAAATAATAAAAATAATTTAAGTGTATAAAATTTAAATTCAACATTCAATCTCTTAAAATAAAATAATCATTTAAAAAAATAACCCATAAATTATCTATTATTATTCACTTACCAAAAACATATTAAAATTTAAAACTCACAAGACTAAAATAAACCCAACAAAAAAACCCATAACATAGTAACCCAAATCTTACTAATTTATCAAGATTTCTTTTGGTCCAAACCCAAAATATTAAAACTAAAAAAATATTTAAAATCTAAAACATAAATAAAATAAAATAAAAAATTAAATCCCCAAGCCTTTCTTCTTCTATCTCGTGAAAGAAGAGAGGCGGAGATCACAACAAAATCAGGTATGGTTCCCCTGCTCTTTCTTTGTTGAAGCTATCAATTGGAACATCGGGTGTTTGGGTGTCGTTGGATCACTGCTATCATCAATTGAAAATCATGTATGGATTCCTCTGCTCTTTCTTTGTTGAAAATCATCAATTTAAACATCAGGATCCTATGTTTTCCTCTCTTTGTTGTCCAAAAAACAGGTATGGGTCTGGTCATTTTCTTTCTTCCAAGCTTTACTCCTCTCTGAAAACCCAGAAAATTTGTGAGTTTCAGTAGGTGATTTGGTCTAACGGGAAATAACGGGAATAGCGGTTCGCTATCACCATGATCGGCCGTTACCCGTTAAGTTACGGCCGCTATCGATGTGATTCCGCTTAATACCGTTATTTTTGGATAATAACGGTATCAGACGATGGCGCAACCGCAAAATAGCGGCCGCTATCACGTTTGCGCTCCGCTTATTTAAAACACTGCCAGTGACAAGAAGGCTCCTGCTGTTGATGATCCGCTGTACGCTACTTGGGATGCTGAAAACTCCATGGTTATGACATGGCTGGTTAATTCCATGGAGGAGGACATAAGCTCCAATTACATGTGCTATCCTACTGCAAAAGAATTGTGGGATAATGTTAGTCAAATGTATTATGACCTAGGTAACCAATCTCAGGTTTTTGAGTTAACTTTAAAATTGGAGGAGATTCGTCAAGGAGATAATTCTGTCACCACATATTTCCATTCGTTGAAAAGGCTGTGGCAGGATCTTGATCTCTTCAACACATATGAATGGAAAAGTATTGATGACTGTAATCACCATAAGAAAACTGTAGAAGATAGTCGTATTTACAAGTTTCTTGCTGGCCTCAATGTTGAGTTTGATAAAGTACGAGGAAGGATTATTGGCAGACCTCCTTTTTTATCCATTGGCGAAGTATTTGTCGAAGTTAGAAGAGAAGAAAGCCGAAGGAATATCATGCTCAAAAAGAAGAGTACTGGTGAGTTAATTGAAAATTCTGCCTTATTGAGTGATGTTGCAGCCTACAAGGCAGTAAACTACCAGCGCAGGTCTGATGATAAACCACAGGTCTGGTGTGATTTTTGCAACAAACCCCGCCATACACGTGAGACATGTTGGAAAATTCATGACAAACCTGCTAACTGGAAAAGCAACAAGCAAGGAGAGAAGATCGTGAAATTCCTGCAGTGAGCTGACTCAGGTCCTTCAACAAAGAGCAGATTGATCAACTCTTGAAACTGAAAAATCCAATTTCTCATCCGGTATTTATAGTGTTTCTTTGCACAAACAGGTAGTAATCCTAAAGCCCTTTCTTGTCCAAATTCCTCTTCGTGGATAATAGATTTTGGAGCCTCAGATCACATGACTAGTTTTTCTCATTTATTTAATACCTATTCACCTTGCCCTGGAAATGGAAAAATTAGAATTGCCGATGGTAGTTTTTCACCTATTGCAGGAAAAGGACTCATTAAACTGACAGGGAAAATTAATCTCAATAATGTTCTTCATGTCCCTAAATTAGCCTGCAATCTTTTGTCTGTCAGTAAACTATCTAGAGATTCTAATTGTTGCATTACCTTCTTTGAATCACATTGTGAATTTCAGGACCGGAACTCGGGGATGATGATTGGACGTGCTAGGATGATTGAAGGTCTTTATTACTTTGATGAAGTATCTATCAGTAATAAAAAAGTTCAGAGCTTTAGTGGTACTAGTTCAATTTTGTTCGAGCGAAAAAAATAATGTTGTGGCACTAGACTAGGACATCCTAGTTTTCTTATTTGAAGCACTTATTTCTAGAATTATTTAAAGGGATTGATTGTTCTTCTTTTCATTGTGAAAATTGCATTTTTTCAAAAAACCATCGTTCCATCATTTCCCAAAAGATTATTAGGCCTCCAAACTTTTTATGATTCATATTTCAGGACCGGAACTCGGGGATGATGATTGGACGTGCTAGGATGATTGAAGGTCTTTATTACTTTGATGAAGTATCTATCAGTAATAAAAAAGTTCAGAGCTTTAGTGGTACTAGTTCAATTTCTGTTCGAGAAAAAATAATGTTGTGGCACTATAGACTAGGACATCCTAGTTTTCTTTATTTGAAGCACTTATTTCTAGAATTATTTAAAGGGATTGATTGTTCTTCTTTTCATTGTGAAAATTGCATTTTTTCAAAAAACCATCGTTCCACTCATTTACCAAAAGATTATTAGGCCTCCAAACCTTTTTATCTGATTCATAGTGATGTTTGGGGCCCTTCTAAAGTTACTACTATTTCTGGTAAAAGGTCTGACGTGAAAGATTTATTCAAAAAATTTTACACTCTGATTGAAAACCAATTTCAAACCAAGATTAGTATTTTACATTCTGACAATGGAACATAATATTTTAATGAGCACTTAGGTGATTTTTTGAAAGAGAAAGGGATTTTTCATCACTCTACCTGTTGGGATACCCCTAAAAAAATGGCATTGCAAAACGAAAAAATAAACATTTACTTGAAGTAGCACGTGCCATAATGTTTTACATGCATGTTCCCAAATACTTATGGGGTGAAGCAGTTTTAACAGCCGCTTACTTGATAAATAGGATGCCTACTAAGGTGTTAACATACAAAACACCACTCGATTGCCTAAAATATATTTTCCTGGAACAAGGTTGTTTTCTGAGTTACTTGTCAGAGTTTTTGGATGTACTGCCTATGTTCATGTTCCATGCCAATTTCGTTCAAAACTTGACCCACGTGCTATTAAATG